ACGCTGTGTCGTTCCTATATACAATATCTAGTACATTATCTGTCAGACAGTAATCACCTGTACGCTGTGTCGTTCCTATATACAATGTGTAGTACATTATCTGTCCGACAGTAATCGTCTGTACACTGTGTTGTTCCTATATACAATACGTAGTACATTATCTTTCACACAGTTATCGTCTGTACGCTGTGTCGTTCCTATTTACAATATGTAGAACATTATCTGGCAGACAGTAATCGTCTGTACGCTGTGTCGTTGCAATATACAATATGTAGTACATTATCTGTCAGACAGTCACCGTCTGTACGCTGTGTCGTTCCTATATAGAATATGTAGAACATTATCTGTCAGACAGTAATCGTCTGTACGCTGTACAATATGTAGTACATTATCTGTCAGGCAGTAAGAGTCTGTACGCTGTGTCTTTCCTATATACAATATGTAGTACATTATTGTCACACAGTAATCACCTGTACGCTGTGTCCTTCCTATATACAATATGTACTACATTATCTGTCAGACAGTAATCGTCTGTACGCTGCGTCGTTCCTATATACAATATGTAGTACGTTATCTGTCAGACAGTAATCGTCTGTACACTGTGTTGTTCCTATATACAATACGTAGTACATTATCTGTCTCACAGTTATCGTCTGTACGCTGTGTCGTTCCTATATAGAATATGTAGAACATTATCTGTCAGACAGTAATCACCTGTGCGCTGTGTCGTTCCTATATACAATATGTAGAACATTATCTGTCAGACAGTAATCGTCTGTACGCTGTGTCGTTCCAATATACAATATGTAGTACATTATCTGTCACACAGTTATCGTATGTACGCTGTGTCGTTCCTATATACAATATGTAGTACATTATCTGTCAGACAGTTATCGTATGTACGCTGTGTCGTTCCTATATACAATATGTATTACATTATCTGTCAGACAGTAATCGTCTGTACGCTGTACAATATGTAGTACATTATCTGTCAGACAGTAATCACCTGTACGCTGTGTCGTTCCTATATACAATGTGTAGTACATTAGCTGTCACACAGTTATCGTCTGTACGCTGTGTCGTTCCTATATACAATATGTAGTACATTATCTGTCAGACAGTAATCACCTGTACGCTGTGTCGTTCCTATATACAATATGTATTACATTATCTGTCAGACAGTAATCACCTGTACGCTGTGTCGTTCGCAGACGTGTGTTTAGACTTTGTATGAGTCATACTTGTTATTTTCACATCTGACGCAATTTGTCAAGAAAGCTGATGGTGATGAATCCAAACAATTATCCCGCAACGTGCAAAAGAAAGATGACAATTCGATGGAGACGCTAGGAGATAGTGTTACAAATGTATTATTCTATTGCGTGGTTTTTGACATGACAAGACATTATTTTGATACCTTCAGGGTTGATATAAGTATGTCAAGGTGTTTGTGAGATCGATCGTGGACACGAACATGCTGGAAATCGATCTCACGATTATGTAACCATTTCCACCCTTCCCTAAATAAGAGTTCCTTTGTGGTATTGAACAAGTCGTAGGATTAAAGACAGTTTTGATATATATCAACTGGTAGATGTTGTACTCATCAAAAACAAAAAGGAATGACATTATGAATCCGCGCAAATAAAGATCTCAAGACATGTAGCATCATCCACAAAGGCGCAATAGAATCAGGTCGCAGTGACCTCAATGTCGAAGGTCAAATCAGAGCCAGATATATACAGTGTATGTAGCAAATACTTGTCTGCGCCGTAAATTTTAAAACCTTAAATATATCTTGATGAAACTTCAGGTATTCCTGCATCATCAGCAAATGGTTACCGTTCACTATAATAAGGTCGTTATGACTTTCACCTCAAAGGTCAAAGGTCAAACATATGAAGCAGTAAATGCTTGCCCAGCCTGTCCAGCCCAACGGATATATTTTGATGAAATGTCAAGTACACCAGCATTACCCATCTACCCATATCTACTACGCTTATATGGCTAATACGGGTATATTTTTATACAAACTTTTGGTATTAGAGCTATAATAAGCTTATTGAACATTAGAGTGCAATATGACCATATCCATATCCTTGCCCATATCACCAACCTCCGTATTACAGACTGAGGGGTTGGACGGCTTATAAAGTATAACCTGTCTAAACCGGATATCAAACTATTTGGCCGGTTTACACAGTTTTCCTGTTTATACAGGGTCGGCATGTCATTTTTTGAAAATAAAAAGATGTAGCGTTTTGCATACGAAATCTATACAAGTGTGTCAACATAAACAACAGAGAAATGAATCAATCGGAACGTTTAATGCTTTACAAAATATGTGTAGTATATAATAAAAAATGAAGGGCGATCAAGCGAACATCTCAGTCAGACGCGAGTATATTTTGAACCACTGTTGCAAATGTACATGTAAAGGTGGCGGGCTAATGCATGGTAGGATAAGTATTCACGTTCACTCATTCATTCTTTATTGACAAAAAGACCCTAAGCTTATAGGTAAATACACATATACATATAACATTCTCTAAACATAATCAGAATAGACAGGATAGTGATATCACAGTTTACATATAACTTCTTTTTTTTTTTTAAATTATTTTTATATAATGCATACTGGTAATATTTAATTACAACATTGAAATGATAAAAATATTGCAAATGAAGTGAATTCAGTTGTGATTATTAGTTAAATGTGTTGAACTGAATTTAAAACGAATCGGGCACGTGCCAGCCGGGTATGGGTCGGTGCGAGATATGACATATGCACAGCTAGCAATGTTGCCCATACCGAAGCATTTATATAAACCACATGATGATACCGGTCATCTTAACTTGGATGAACGTTTGTGTTAACATAGCTATATTCTTATACCAGATAACCTCATTGAAAGCTGTGTCGTTGATAAGACTTTAAATGACATCCACCACGAGAAACAATTCTTAGCCAATCATCACTCGACAATACGCTGTTCCAGTTATTGAATAAATTTGTGCAGACTGTCGATAAGGCGGGAATTTTAACTTTTAAATATGATTTGCAGGTTTAAAAAAACGTGAAAGGCGGAGAAAACGTAAATATAAGCATTGAACTGTTTTTGTATGGCATTTATGATCTTTTTGAATGACACACCTCTGAAAGCAAAAATAATAATAATACGCGCTAAATAAATGACTTTTGGGATCTTCATATTTCTTTCTATTTCTAACTACCTTTTATTTCCTAGCGCCTTGCTTGACAATACCTCACTTTTGGCTTAAATGTTTAGCGTTCGCCCAGGTGAGGAAGGCACAGGGTTCTATCCCCAGGTCGGGACATACCAAAGTCCTTAACAATGGTACTTGTCATTCCTTGCTTAACGTACAGCATTTAGGGTAATGGCAACAACTGGCTCATCCGTTGTCAGTATAATGTGACCGGGCGGAATGCTGTGCTGGGTGCCTCGGCATAGTATTATAAATGTCAGTGAGATAGCTCTATAAAGTCGGCATATCAGATCCGCGCTATCACAAGGAGGCAATTACACCAACATACCCTGTCTACAGCACACGTACACACGTGCACGCATACATAACACACATGGAGGCACGTCTTTGAATTACCTTAGCTGTCAATAGGACATTTAACAAAATATAACCTAACCAAACAAAACGCTTAAAAAACATTGTTTTACTGCTTTTAATTATCTGCTTTGATCATGAAGTTAATGCTTGTTATTATCAAGCTGACATGAAGAATTATTCTACAAAATATGCTAGCATTGAACGATTATATAAATAAAATACACTGCCCTTCACCACGTTTACACAGAAAAACAACATACCGTCATATGAATGCGGGCGGTATGACATGGGATATGATCATGGTAACGTCTTTAATTTGAGGTTTATTGAAGATAAATAAAAACGTTACTCCTCATTAGTGTCGACTGGGAACAATGGACAGAATTGATGACGTATTGCTATATTGTGCGAGGATTGCTAGACTAATCAGTCTTTAGTGGATGTTGTTCAGACGAGCCTTGCCAATGGGTATAGACCTCTCAACACTTGTCAGTCACCTACGTTACACCGCCGGTACGGAGTATATATTTGGTTGGGTTTCATATTGTTCAACGTCTTATTAACAGCTAAGGTAATTTAAGGACGTGCCTCCATGTGTGCTGTGTAAGCGTGCATGGGTGTATGAGTGCCGTAGACAGGGTGTGTTGGTGTAATTGCCTCCTTGTGTGATATTGCGGATTTGATGCCGACTTTATAGTGCTATCACACTGAAATACCATGCCGTAGGCACCCAGCACAGTTATTGCCTTTACCCCAAACGCTGAACGTTAAGCACTGAATAACAACTACCATTTTTAAAGACTTCCGTATGCTCCGGCCTGGGGACAGAGTCCATTGCCTTCCTCACCTGGGCGAACGTTCTAAATAAAAGCCAAAAATGAGGTATTGCCAAGAAAGGCACAAGCGAAGCCCTAAGAAAGAAGTATAACAAACAGAATTACTTACCTTGGTATGTGTGGAATACTGAATTGTCGACAAAAAATATTTCGAACTCAAATTCAATAACACGGGAGCAAAATATAAACAATATGAACGTCGTGTGCCGATTCGATTGGGGATCAGTTATAGACAGACAATAATAATTTTGTTAGACAGCCAAGTCCTGGGTATGATGATCTATCATATCGCGCTGGGTGTAACAAGAATGTACTCGAACATATCTGCATATTGTTAATAATGTGATTATATTAATCTCCTAAGGTTACCAGGTAAGTGCTATATGGTTCACACAGTCTAGTATTATCAATAACTCAACTTTTCTTATTATAACTATGTCCATCCCAATCCTGGCCCTGGTGATCAAAAACCAAGACCTGTGTATATTTCATTTGAATATTCGCACCCTACGGAATAAGTTGTCGTATTTAGAACATGTATCTAGTGACTTCGATATTATATGTATTGCTGAGACTCACCTAGACATAGCCGTAGCAGACGATGACATACTCCTGGATGGTTATAACATGCTCCGTAAAGACCGCGGGACTCCGGGTGGGGGGATAACTGTTTACACTTCCAGCTCCCTGTGCACACGTCGTAGAATTGATTTAGAATTTCAAGTATGTGAAGTTATTTGGGTAGAAATCCAGTTTCCCAATAGGACATATATAATATGTACCGTTTACAGACCACAATACCTGTTCACTGCACACATATGTTTTGGAATCACTTTCGCCATTCTCTGGAAACAGCCCTGAATGAAACTCCTTTTGTTGTAATCGTAGGGGTATAAACGTTTACCTCCTCACTGTTGACAATAACCATGCTCTTCTAGACATCATGAAATTTTACAACCTGACAAACGTTATCGACAGACCGACTACAATACGACGCACGTGCAACACAATACTTGACCCTGTTCTTCTATCGGACACGTGTAACTTTACGATCGGACGTAATTGACATAGACCGCGACATTTCGGACCACCAAGCAACATCTGTAGATTTGACTGAAGGGACAAATATTGTAAGGAACTATAAGAGGAACACTATTTGTTATAAAGACGCAGATTACGAACGGTTTAACAATTTACTTTTAGCAATTGACCGGACTTAACTTTTTTTAAGAATCAATTCTTAATGACGATATGTGTGACATTTTTACATCTAGCTATTTAGAATTAGCTGACGAATGTATTCCTTCAAAATTAGTTACAATAAGACCTAATGACAAACCTTGGTTTAACTCTGACCTGAGACGTGAAATAAGGAAAAGATACAGACTTCTCCAAAAATATAAATCCAATCACACTCCAAATAATTTGAATAACTTTAAGAAACAGCGAAATGGCGGAAACAATCTGAAAAAAAAGGCCAAAAGAATTATTTTATGCGGACATAAACGACCTTCTAGACAACTAAAGTGATACGTACAAATCCCAGAAACTTTTGGCTTCCGACACATCTAATAGAATACCGCCGTTACGGAGTGCGACTAGAAATATAGAAATGAATGACGATATTAAGACTTATATACTAAACGATTACATTGTTTCAATATCTACTATAGACGATATTAACATTGACGTACCTGTTATAGAATCTAAAACAGACTCGCGATCGCCATCTAAGACATAAGGTTTAATCAATCGGAAACCGTCGGCACTTTCCGTAAACGGAAAGTGCCGACGGTTCCCGATTGAGAAATTTTCTCGTTTACGGAAAGTACCGACGGTTCCCAATTGACCGTTTAATATTAATGACATTATCGACATTCTAAAGACCTTAAAAATCGGTAAAGCTGTAGGAAAGGATACAATTAGTCATAACATGCTAAAGAATTCATCTAATTCAGTTGCGTATCCTCTTACATTGATCTTTCGGTCTTCTTTGGAAACTGGATCTTTCCTTAAAAACAATGGAAACATGCTCTATTTATTTTTTAAATGAGATAAACAAGACCTCTCCAATTATAGACCTGTTGCACTACTAAGTACTATTGGTAAAGTTTTCAAAAGACTAGTCGCTAAATATTTATATAACTTCCTTTTAGATAATTATCTCATCTGTCAGGTTTTCAACCAGGTCATTCTACTGTACACCAGCTTAAAGAAATATATCATACTATGTGCGACAATCTTTAAAAAAAACCAGCCAACGTGTTTAATTTTTTTGCGATATTTCTATGGCGTTCGATCGATTGTCGCATAGGGGACTGGAAGTGAAACTAGCTAGCTATGGAATGTCTGAAAAGTTATTGGACTGGTTAATCAATTATGTTACTGATAGATCTCAACAAGTTTGTATTGGAAATAGTAGATCTTCTGTTAAGAGTACTTCAGGGTTCAGTTCTTGGCCCGTTGCTGTTTATACTATATATTAATGACATAACAGTCAATATAGAAAGTCTATTAAAACTTTTTACTGATTACACCTCTTTTTTATAATCGGACAAATCACCACAAGTAATTGGACCAAAAATTATTAATGATCTAGTAAATATACAATTGTGGGCAGATAAGTGGCTTGTTAAATTTAATCATGCAAAAACAGAGGCTTTACTTATATCTAATATTGAACTTGATCACCTCATTGAAATTAACTTTAATAATGTAAGTATTGAACTTGTTGAAAATCATAAGAATGAAAATTGAATAGCGTCAACACCCGAGGATCCATCAGAACTTAATGTGATTAGTTCCAACCTTAAACAGACAAAAACACCAAAGCCAGAACACACTATTTATAAATATAAGCAGCATCTGTATCGTGCAAAGGCAATATTAGTGTTCGCCAGATTAGAACAAGCCAGCAGGCCTTACTTACAAAACACTATCTTACTCCCAAACAAGACTGTTCGAACCAATAAACGCATTACGTAACTAACAGTCCTCAGTGTGACATTTCGGAATCACAGACCTCCCGTCGCTATACGAATGCTATAGCGACCTAAAGAAACACGTATGTATCTGAACTCGCTGTCTCAACGTATATGTAGCCGCCATAAGCGCGCTTGACGCGTATTGCGATGTTATATTTGTAAAAGCAATCACAAAGCTCTTAGCTTTTAGCACAAGTTTCTCTGGTGTAAGTCTTTTTTTTTTTTTGCCACTTGATATATAGATCAATAATTTCTTTATTTTGCATTGTCAAGCTTCTGTCAACATGAAGTCACTAAACATGTTTCTCACAACTCATTCCACGAAGTGAGTATAGAAATGTGTGAAAGAAAACAGACACCAGGACCGGTAGTCTCGTTCAACCAGAGGCTTGATCACTTGTAATCTCTGTTCGGCGTAGACTGCGCAGACAAAAAGAGTCTGGTTGAACGAGACTACAGTCCCAGCCACAGCCGTCAGTCTATTAGGGCGAACAGGCACGTTTTGGAGACAAGTACTCGATTGGAAGAAGACATTGTATGTATTTTTCATGAATATGCAATGATAATGGCCCATGTAGATGGGTAAATATCTATATCTGTCTCGGTATGAATAACTTCTTCTTTTGTGAAATATTACGTTTTTTTGAGTGTTACATTATGTATTAGGAAACACATCTGGTACAAACATTGTATGTCTGTCGCACAATGCTTTACTGTTCATATCAGTGATGTTTTATGTAAGAGGGTAAATGCCTACTTATAAGCAGCTGTAATATTAGTGGACCTGTAACAGGCAAAATATATGAGGGGAGAATACTGTCTTACTGGCAAGCTAGCTTTTCCAGTGATGTGGTATATATAGCCCGGGGACCCGCTCACTAGTTCAACAACGTCGAGCGTGCTCAGTAGTTGGATGGGTGACCGCCCGCACGTTACAGACCTATCACATAACAGGTTGCAATGTACATTAGACGTGGCGTAATAACAGCAAAGTAACTTTTGGTTTTATCCTACTCCTTCGATACATTTAAAAAAGAAAGGCACGAAATATGTGGACAAGCAACCATATCTTGTAATCAATGCGCTTGTTTTTACACACAAAACATGCAGACAATATCCTCCTAAACCCAGTCCCAGATTTGTCTATTTCATTAAATTTAAAGTGTACGTTTATGCGATGTTATGCTTCATATTGAAGTTAGATGCATTGTAACTGTGTTACATAATCGCAACACAATCTGGTTTAGTATAGCGTTACATAAACCTCACCATCTGTCTGACATTTAAACATAAAACCTCACCATCAGTCTGACATCGAAACATAAAACCTCAACATCAGTCTGACATCTTCACATAAAACCTCACAAACAGTCTGACATCTAAACATAAACTCCCACCATCAGTCTGACATCTAAACATAAAACCTCACCATCAGTCTGACATCTAAACATAAAACCTCACAAACAGTCTGACATCTTCACATAAAACCTCACCATCAGTCTGACATCGAAACATAAAACCTCACCATCAGTCTGACATCGTGAAATAAAACCTCACAATCAGTCTGACATCGTGACATAAAACCTAACCATCAATCTGACATCTTAACATAAACCCCCACCATCAGTCTGACATCTTTACATAAAACCTCACAATCAGTCTGATATCTTCACATAAAACCTCACCATCAGTCTGACATGGAAACATAAAACCTCACCATCAGTCTGAGATCTTTACATAAAACCTAACAATCAGTCTGATATCTTCACATACAACTTCACCATCAGTATGACATCGTGAAATAAAACCTCACCATAAGTCTGACATCGTGAAATAAAACCTCACAATCAGTCTGACATCTTGAAATAAAACCTCACCATCAATCTGACATCTAAACATAAACTCCCACCATCAGTCTGACATCTAAACATAAAACCTCACCATTAGTCTGACATCTAAACATAAAACCTCACCATCAGTTTGACATCGAAACATAAAACCTCACCATCAGTTTGACATCGTGAAATAAAACCTCACCATAAGTCTGACATCGTGAAATAAAACCTCACCATAAGTCTGACATCGTGAAATAAAACCTCACGATCAGTCTGACATCTTTACATAAAACCTCACAATCAGTCTGACATCGTGACATAAAACCTCACCATCAGTCTGACAAACCCGACATAAAACCTCACCATCAGTCTGACAAACCCGACATAAAACCTCACCATCAGTCTGACAAACCCGACATAAAACCTCACCATCAGTCTGACATCGAAACATAAACCCTCACCATCAGTCTGAAAACCCCGACATAAAACCTCACCATCAGTCTGACATCGAAACATAAAACCTCACCATCAGTCTGACATGACACCTTAACATAAAACCTCACCATTAGTCTGACATCGTGAAATAAAACCTCACAATCAGTCTGACATCTAAACAGAAAACCTCACCATCAGTCTGACATCGTGAAATAAAACCTCACCATCAGTCTGACAGCGTAACATAAAGCCTAGCCATCAGTCTGACACCTTAACATAAAACCTCACCATTAGTCTGACATCGTGAAATAAAACCTCACCATCAGTCTGACATCTAAACGTAAAATCTAACCATCAATCTGACATCGTGACATAAAAACTCAACTTCAGTCTGACATCTAAACATAAAACCTCACCATCAGTCTGACATCTTTACATAAAACCTCTCCATCAGTCTGACATCGTGAAATGAAACCTCACCATCAGTCTGACATCTTAACATAAAACCACTCCATCAGTCTGGCATCTAAACGTAAAACCTCACCATCAGTCTGACATCTAAACATAAAACCTCACAATTAGTCTGACATCTAAACATAAATCCTCACCATCAGTCTGACATCTAAACATACAAACTCACCATCAGTCTGACATCGTGACATAAAAACTCACCATCAGTCTGACA